CCTACAATAATATAATAATTGATCAACAACGATTAATAATTTGTTTATTTCAATACTTTGTAGACTCTGGCTGTTCGTGTCTTCCTTACTATTGCGTTTGCAACAACAGCCGTCTGACTGCACCCGGTCCAGAACCCGCGACCACCATCCTCCAGCATCAGCAATCATCCTACCCCGCCCAACACCACCACCATCATCACCATCATCGTCACCACCACCACAACAACAACAATAACAGCAGAAGTAGTAGCAGTAGTGAAGATGACCAACTTCACCGCCATCAAGATTGGGCGATGGCAGCTGAGCTGCAAAACTATCATGTACTGCAACAGCCCCCGTCCGGACCTCCCCCATCATTGGCCATCGTTCAAAACATGTCCRCCTCTGACTTTGGGTTCGTGGCCGGACCGCAACCTGCGTCGGCCGTCTACTGYCATCCAATGCAGCAGACAACCACCGTCACCGATGACGATGACGTGTTTCAGCTGCAGCGAATTGACCAGCGGCCACCGGGACAGGACGCGGCAACCGCWTCTTCGGCTTACCACAAGTGTTCGCCGACGACCGTGTTGGACTTGGGCAGTGGCACAATACACAAAAGCACGGGGCAGTGCAGCAGTGACAACGGCGGCGTCGGTTGGCAACACTACCAGCCAGTCGACTACCATCACCCGGCCGCGGTGCACCATCACCACGATCACCAGCAGCAGCAGCAGCAACAGTGCTTCCCGTTACAGCAGAGCTGTGATGGCGTCGCCTATCACCATCCCGGGCAGCAGCTGCAGTACGCCACCATCAAGACCGAAGACGACCAGGAATCGTTGGATCTGATGTACCCGATGGCGGTACAAGACGTGGACTACTATGCACAGCTGTCGTCCTGTTCGTCGTCGGCGGACGCGTCATGCCTCAAGGCAGCGTCGGCGGCGGCAAGTATGCAGAACGACGGGTCCATGGACTTTATCGGCGCCGACGCAACGATGCCGTCCGACGTCTCCGCTTCGCAGCACGTCGTCGACTACACGGTCCTCGATCCCACCAAACTGTTGTTGACCAACAACAACTTTTACATGGACTCATACTGTGGTGGCGGTGGCGGCGGTTCAGAATCCAGCAACAACAACAACAACAACAACAACAACAACAACAATAACAATAACAACGACGACGATCACCACACTGCCGTAGCCGCTGCTGCGTTCAATGAGTTTCAACTGAACGCTGTTGACATTCATTCTTGGTCGCAGGCCATCGATCAGTGAATTTGGCGATCACCAGTCGTCAGATATTCATTGTACAATTGTATATATGAATACTATGTATAGAGTGGATCGCGCAAATGGGAGGACTTGCGAAAATTTTTCATAATTTGAACCTTCGTCACATGATGGTGTGTACCGCTGTATATATGTAAATAATAAAAAGGTGTATTTCGTAATGAAATTTTGTTTAAGAGCGTGAAATGTTTGTAAAATTAGTAATTTTATCAATAGCGTATTTTCATTTTGATTTTTTTTCCATTCTCAATTTATTGTACTTTAATATTTTATTTATTAATTTT